ACTTGAACTTGAAATGTAAAACATGAAATTATGATTAAAAGCGTACCGAAAAATGATGGAATCGAGATCAAACGGATACTCCACAATACCAGTTGTGGGAACTCGAACACGAAGGATATCCTGTAGGGTTGGGACGTAGTCCGGTTGGGAGATTCGATCCAGATTGTCAAGGTAACTAAAACACAATATATTGTACATCAATAACACTAGTGAAGGGAAAATAAAACTTGAGCGTATTTTACTGAAAATATGAAGGAAACAACGGTAGATCTTATGTTCGAGCCTAACAGAAACTTTTGATGAACGCCAGGATGAATGGAGGAATGTGTGCGTGACGTAAAATGAAGCAACACAGAACCGGGTCTCTCAGACGCATCAATTGTCGGCAAGCCACCGAGAGTCCGCTCTCCTCAAATCTTCGAGCAACCACATCTTTGTAAACAAAAGATGGCGGGTTGCAATTAAAATCGTCGACCGATTCGGAGCAGTCACCTTGATTTCGAATACAGTCAGTTTCGGTGGGCGTTACAAACCCATGACACAAACAATCTGTCTAATAGCCTCTTAAAACGCGTTTTCAGTAATCTATAATGCTTTACATTTTAATGGTCTGGCGTTTTGTGGCCTGAAGCATCGTGTCGTGACACCTTGGATTTCCACCGAGTTTCGGTGCATCCTAAATGCACGCCAGACAATCCCGGTACGCAGAGAACATAACGAAACACGGTTCTCTGTGTATGCTGAATTCAAAGTATAGTTGAACAAAGACCATGAAATCTAGTGATCTCAATGAGTGTCAGGGATAGAACGTGATCCTGTCATAGGAAGTTCCCGTAAACTATTCCACCTCACCCGGGTCGCGGATAGGAAATCAAAACGATATGTGAGGGCTGACAGTTCGCCCAGATGAAACTGCATCAATCGAAACCTTCACCCCTTGACTGTGACTTGAATATCGCCTTACCTCCCAGAAAGCAGTGAGCAGTGTGCTCTTGGGCAGCTGTGTGACCTTCGACTTGTTTGTTCAGAAATGGAATGACAGAAGAATATGTCAACCCTCAAGGAGTCGTCCCATCATACCTCAGGTTGGCTTAGGATTTATGGTCAGGCTTCGCCACAGCTTTCTGCAACGAGACTGTCTTATTAAACAAGGATTTTTTTGCTACAACCATTTCCATTTTTCGCATCATAAAAGGTTACCATCGTGCCACCCACTCGTTTCTGGTCGGTCCACTCACTCGAAGGTTCGGTCTTTAATTTGCAAGGTCACTCATGACCAGCAGGAAAAATCAAAATAAACAGATGACTATGCTCAAAGAGTTGTGTTTGTGTTCAGCCCAATACATAATCATGCCCGTTGGTCTGTCGTCCTTCTTCTGTTTGGTTGATCTCGGGATCGTACTCCTCCGACCGTTTCGTTTGACTGGGTTAAATCCGTATCACGTTCGCGCGAGTACACGTAAATTTACTCACTTGAGTCGTAAGAACCATTCTTTTCGTTGGTTGTAAAACCTATATCGACATTCTGTTTTGACTTTGTCGTAGATGTCCTGCAGAAAGCATCACCCGATCTAGCAGAGGGGAGTTAGGTTCCTTCCCGAGAAATCGGTTGACACCGCCTTACTGGACGACAATACACAGGCAGTCCAGCATGCCTTGAATCCCTTGGTCATCAAGTTATCTAGATAGGTTGAGTGTTTTACACATACGGTTGGAACTGGTGTTGAAGAGGTCACCTCGCGAATAGTGTAAGCTAAAATACCGTTAACTAACCTGCGACACCTGTGGCCTCATCATGATACATCTCCAACGCCAAGAGTAGGGTGTACAACGCCGTGGTTCGTCATGTTTTACATAACGGTTGTCAGATCCATCCTTGGCTCTAACGTGACGGATCGCGCAAAACGTGTTTGCAACTTAAGAAAAAACCAAAGATTAAACGATTAGGTGTTCGATATTCTTCAGTATTTTTTTAGCATATTTCGACTGATGTGAACGGATCTCCTGAGCACGGTTTTTACATTCTCATACCAAGTTTTATTATTTCACCTATCACCTGATTCGGCAAACAGCACGCACCACGGTAATATATTCGGGAATATACGTAATACATGCTTCAGCCAACGTAAGCTATAAAAGTCCAGCACCTGCTCCATTGCGACGAAACTGCACCTCGATGTGATGTGACAGCCTGCGAGCCTCAAAACTCAGCGAACTATACAGGATAGCTTCTTACGGCCGCATACCCAATCATGCCTGAAAGGTCAGGCATAACTTGGTCTCACAAGGCCATTAGACTGAACACCGCCCGATGCTCTCTGACTACCTACTCTCATCTTTGGAAGGGTACCTCCGGCAAATAAACTCGGGAGAAGCAGCTTGTCGTTCGAAATCCCGTGTTAGATGGACGCAGGAGCGAGGTACCTAGGGCCTCCTTTCGACCATGGGAGAAGTTTTCGCGCTGCTTTGGCCTACTGCCGCCCACCCAATATGAATAACTCTCAACTTATAAGGTGCTGCTCCGTCCATGTTTCGCGTGTCTCATTGGGTACATGAGGCCGAGGACGGAACCCCAACGGCGGACCGAAAATCAACGCACCCGTGAGCAACAAACTGAACCAAAACCAGAAGGCTTTGTGTGACAGGCCTCTAAAAGCTCCGGTGCGGGTGTTTCAGTCACGCTATCCCACAGGATCCACACCCCAGTGCTCATGGGGTCAGACTTCTAAATCGAAGGCTCCGGTCAAGATTCGCAAAGAAAAACCTCTTCTTCAGTGTGGATCGCCGTGAAGTATGTAGCGCCTCAAAGTCTTGAATACCTATTTGGAAAAACCTTTGTCTCATCTGTTCGGTTCATGGAGACTGGGGTTAGGACGAATGCTCTTGAACGACATGGTCACATTGTGTGCCTCAAATCATTGGGAAAAAAACGGCAGTCCCAAACTTTGAAAACTCTCCGATTCGTTAATGATTTAGGGTTTTTTATTAAACGTCGTAAACTTTTTCGATACGGATGGTTGAAAAATCCCAAGAAATGTCTATTTAGGTCCTAACAATCACAATTCAACAACGCTCACGCCAATCGAAAGCATTTAATGGATAACCCCTTTCGAAATGATGAGGGTTACCGGTATAACAACAAATATTTTAGTCTTGTGCACGTGCCAGCTTTCTCCAATTGAAAGGCCCACTCGAAATAAATGCGTGAATCATGATAGGGACAAAAAAGTGCGTGCTGACGGTCAAATAGGAGGAAAACCGTAGTGTTGTGAACAAACGGTGCTCAGACGGAACGATTACTTGGTTACAGATCAACGCTAAAACAAACAAGAAATCAACCACTTCTTACTATTTTGCTGAATCGGTGAGCTGATACTCGCGGCGGCGATCATAACACTCTTTTATTCCCGGATCGTCCCACAAAGATCGGATGGCAACAACGTGCTGTGGATCCATTGAGGTTACGGATTCATAGTCGATTTCACGAATAGCTTCAGCGTAAGCCTGAGGCAATACAAACAGAAAGTCACACGAGCTCACAAAGAATACGTATAAAAGCCTTGGTTCAAAATTTATCGGGAACAATATCACTAAGCACTGAAGCCGAAGCTAGTTAGTCCAGTGTATTTTAAGTTCGACAGGATAAGAAGCGCAATAAGGGAATAAACAAATGCATAAACAATCAACCATAAGCAATATTTACTGCTTCGAAGTTTGTTGCAAACAGCAAGTAGCATGATGCGAGTTTCGCAGCTTTTGGCAAGAAATTGAACAGTGTTAATACAATTACTAGTGATTAACACATTCAACAATATAAATAACCGGAATGAGTCCAATAGCCCGAGAGCTACCGTTCGATAGCAAAAGCTCTGAAACTTACGGTAATGGCTTCCAAAAAGCATTCATTCACAGTGAGATCCACTGTTACTCGCCCTGACATGAAAGTGATACCTTGTTTACCGAGGACCTAAGGTGTAGCTAGGAACGAAACATGGGTTTCACTCCATATTAATCGCTCAAGAATCGTTACAAGTTCTCACTGAGGTGGCTATCGTGATGTGGACTCACATAAGTTCATCGGATAGATCCGTCAGTTATGTATGATAAATTCCGTGTTGCCGATTTTCATCAAACTACCTACTAATGACTTTCTATCTACTGGGGAAATCTTACACAACATTAACTGCTAGGTTGTCTACGGGGGACGACAAACTCTGCATTAGAACCCCATGAAGGTACACAGGCTGCCCCTAAGGCTGATGGATAGACGATTAGCACTTGGATTGGATCACTGAGTACATTGAGCAGCTCGGACGTGTGAATCCATTTAAAAAGTCTATAACTCGACCCTCAGAAGAAGCAGACTCGAAGCAACACGTAAGCGATTTGTGGATTCGACTACCCTGTCGAGTGATTGAGGTGATACTTTTCAAGTCCTTCTTCTAGATTGATTAAGGTGACCAAAAAGCTGGTCAGCAAACACACTGACATAATGACAACACTAATCACACCGCATTTTATAATTCCGCCTTTAATCCGTATAGTGTTGGTATCTTACCTGTCTTGAACCGGGGATTAAACGTATGACAAAGTACACAAAAAAGTCAAGCGGATAATCTATACACTTGCAGTGTCAAAAATACTTACGTGATTTGCAGGGTTTTCGTACGATATCTTCAAGCTTTCCAACGCTCGAATCATAGTAAACATGGCCATGTATATATTCTGATACACGATTTTGATAAACGTTCGACGTTCCTCGTCCGAGTAGCCCGCACCATGAATGATCCGCATTTGTTTGATGAATGTGCTTTTGCCCGATTCACCGGTACCTGACAACAAAAAGAAACAGGAGGAAAGAGTATACTAAATCTCTGAAAACACGTGTTGTTGAGGCTTCACACCAATATAATAATTTGAACTTTGTAAAAATTTTTTTAAAACGTGAAGCTATTCGTGCAAAACTGCTGCTATCCATAAGGAAATATATAAAAATATATATAAACTTTGCATGCTGCGGTGATCAAGCGGTTCAAGTCTATCACGGACTTCATGATTCGAGGTTAGAAAAACGCGCAACAACGCCCAACTTCAGTGGTAGACAGCTTCATTGTCGTCGGGCTTAATATCACGCATAACTTAACGGGGCCTTATGCGATTTGCAACTTCAAGTCCCGGTGCTTAGGTCACCGGTTTCCATGAGTGAACTACAGAACCTTGCGACTATTGTTGAGTATGGAAGAGTGAAATTTCTTACTGCTACAATTCATTTTCTTCTACTATTGATTTATGAGCTGACCCACCGACAATAGCGAAAACCCACAGAAAAAGCTGATAAAACAGAAAGATTGCTACAATTGAAGGCTGTTGATTTTATTTTATTCCCTTCAAATCAACCACTGGAATTTTTTAATGAGTAATGAAACACACTGACTTGTACAACATCCTTTAGAATCCTCATGAACACTTTTTGAAAATGCTACTGTGCCCCCATAAGTGGCGAGCCTCGTCTTTCACTGACGGTTAAGCCATTGATCTCCACACCGAGTCGGAGCACAATTCCTTGACATTTTAATATACGCCCGGTGTAGGAACATTCCATGAGAACAGCTGCCAATTGACTGATGGACAGATCAAGTTTCTAACGACAAGAGCCTCAAAAAGAAACTCCTAAAGAACATTAACCTCTGATTTGGAAATCGTAGAACCTTAGACCGTGCAACACTAGTTTGTTCACACATTTGACTGAGGTGCTGGTGGCCACAGAAGCTCTTACTCAGTATGGATATTCCTCCATCGATATGCTCCACGTTAGGTCTATCACGATACCATACCCAACGGCGTCATGGCACCGATTAGATGAACGTTTCTCCCGTGACTATTGCATTATTGGAAGCATGAACTGGTACTTTCGGTTGACCAATCCACTTTCCGAGAGGAAACATATTGGAGTTGATTCCATTAATCCATCAATACAATCTCCTCCTGGACCTACTTCCGACATTCGGAGTGCTTACTCTCTACAGATCTCCGTCTCCGAATTATTCAATGCCGATGGAATGAGACGAAGCTTTTCAATGGTAAACAATCGGCAATCCAAATAATTACCAACTGTCGCATGACGCCTTAGAAAACTGCACTCTGATTCGGATCCGCAACATGACCACGGTAATTGTCTGGTCTTTTTCTAACCACATGACCATTTCACCGATTTCCGTGTCACTCAAAGCCTTTCTTCTTCTTCGCCTCTAGGCCCAGATTCATACTACAGCTTCCTTAATTTACTGCCACTGGCTCCTTGGAAAGGATAAGCCGGCTCCAGACATGATCAAGATCATGAAGTTCCTTGGGAGTTTGGTACGAGACGTTCCAAGCGTCACTCAGCGTTCTTTTTATATTTTGAGGGCGCACCGCTAGCCTTTGCAGAACCAAGTGCGAACTGCGAGGCAGCAGGAAGTAATCCCTCGCCTCGGAAGTGAGGGGATTAATGAGTTCGGTTTTAAAAGGCCAGTCGCATCGACATTTGTCAAGACACTGTCATTGGGCTTACGCGGCTTTTAAACAGGAGTCAGGTGACCGGCCTAAAACGCACCGCATCCTGGTAGTGTCACCACTGTTTGCTCACGACTGCTTATTCGTTGCGGTATGCCACAACTTATTCACAGCAAACCTTCTTCTGTGAAGGCATACCCCTATCTACAACCAGGGGACGCGCCTGGTAGCTCTGCTTAACCCGAGGGTATCCAGCTCGCCGACATAAATCCAACTGTAAGCTGTCTTATAATTCACATAGCATTGTTTCATAACCACAAGCTAATTTTGTCCCTCCTCAAGAGCATGAAACAACTCGCTGGCACATACCCCTGCCTCAGAAAGCCTCAGTATGGTTGGGGGTGGGTGTATAGGGTTGCGGCTACTCAACCCTTCTTTGCACCTCGCGAAATGCTCCCATACGAACAAGCGTCCCAAATAGCCTTTGCTGAGGAAGTCCTACTCACTGCCTCCTCGTGGCGGAGGTGTTTTCCCACCAAAGTGAGAGGACGAAGAGCCGATATCCGGGGCTATAACCGGGTTGGTGGACCACTGGCAGTTCACCTAGGGGAGATGGCCAAAAACCCTGATTCCAAACCAACCATGAGGAGACGTACGAAACACACCCACACCTTTTCGGTTGTGGCAGTGGTCACCGGCTCGATTGGGCA